TAGTTGAGAAGACAGGATCCTACTAGGATTGACTCAAGATTCTATTGAGAATCCTGTCAAGATTATGAAAGAGGATTGTGCTAAGATTTTATCAAGTTCTCGTCAACATCTAGATAAAATCTTTGTACCAGAATTCTATCAGGAGTGATAGTCATATCAGACGAGGATTCTAGCAAGAAAAGAACAAGATCAGTCAGAATACAAAACTCACTAATTCTGAAAAGTTTCAATCAGGATCTTCTTCAAAACTTTTCATAAATATCCATTTCTGGACTTTGCAAGACATTTTCAATCCAAATCAAGATCTTGAGAAGAAAATATAAGGATTTAGTAATGGTCTTTGCTGGTTACTGTTTAGTTAACTCAGCTGTGTTCATTTTTTGTGAAAACCTAGGAGGATCCTTCAGAATCATAAATTTCAAGGATCTTGCCAAGTTTGATTCAGGACTCCATCCAAGAATTGTTGTGACAACGATCACAGAGAGAATTTCATCAAGATTCCATTAGATTTGAGTGAAAACATGTTCTGGATACTGATATGAGGATCCTGCCAAGATTTATAGTTATATCAAAGATGGATAATACCAGGAATAAAACAAGATTCTTCAGAATCCTCAACTAATAAGTCCTGCTAAACTTTGATCAGGATCTTGAGCGCAAGTGTTCAAGAACAGGCATTTCAAATGCTTTAAAAGAAGACAAGTATGATCAGGATCTTAATAAGAAAATACAAGAAATTCAGTTAAGATCTTTCCATTTCGGGTGTGGGTGATGTGGCTGTGACTGTGAGTATGAGTGTGGATGTTAATCTCTCTTTAACCACACCTTACATCCATACGCACACCCTCAAGTGATAAAAACGTTGAAATCGACGATCGACTATGCCTCTAATAATGTCAGTAATCGTTCGGATGCAGTTGTCTACAATAAAATCGAAACTAGTTCAGCAGCAAGACTGTTGAAGAGCAAGGTAAAAGCCTTCATTACTATTCTAATACCTCTCGATTTATGATATCACCAGTCATAGTAGAGAGGGCTACAACCAATGGTTTCGAATTTGGTAACACTGGAAAGTTGGAACGACTTTTCTTATTAGGGTTAATATAATATATGTATATTAATCTCTTATTCGATCAATTAGACTGTGCACATCATTTAGCATGTAAAAATATGATATCTATTCATTCAAAATAATACTAGAAACGACGTTTGAAAAATTTGACGAAATCAATACAATTTTTTTCTTTACAGTTTTATTTTATAAGGCCTTTTTTTGCATATATATGCATAAAAACAATTCCATCTAATCAAAAAAAAAATACCGAATCATTCAATTTAATTAAATGTTCTTTTCATGTAAAACAAAAAAAGACTACAATTATTAAAGGCAATTCCAAACGATTCTATAGAATATTCGTACACATCATGTCTTTTTTGGGACATTTGATGAAATGAAAAATAAACATTGGAAAAGCATCACTATATGAATTTGATTTTGTCTGATATATTTGTTCTTTTTTATTATTGTAAAAGAATGTCATAAAAACCGCTGCCGATTACATAAAGCAAGTAAAAGAATGGAAGGTCTCTTTTTTGAATTATCTGGTTTTATTCAATATCCAGTGAAAAATAGATATGCAACATTCGAACATGAAAAACTGAGAACGAATAGATAATTTCCGATTCTGTTCCTTATGTGTGTAGACATACTGATAAAAATCTATCAGAATAAAACAAAATGTTTTCGTTTTTATTGGAGTTTTTTGTTAATTAAATATCAATACCATAGGCGGCACGAGCTCATTTTTTTAGAGGAAGCAATAAGTTTAAGAATGAGATTATTCTCCCCTTTCCTCTCCCCAGCTATAGTTCAAAACTCGGCAGAAAGTTTCCTTTTCGAAATTAATTTCACGAAGACATAGTATCGGAGGTCTGCATATTGATTGATTTGACAGCATAATGGATGACATATAAATAATGACTCTCTCAGTATTTTGGTCATAACTTTTTTCTTTTGAATCATTAGATCTGGTTGTTTGTCTAAGAGATGCGGCATCAAATTCTCTGCAAGACTTAATAACACTAATGATTCTAACAGGCTAAGGAGCAAAATGTAACAAAAAATACTCACAGGTAGAAACGAACCGACTTTCTCCACATCCACAAACCCTAAGGGGGAAAAAGCGAGACTTCGTACTTCTGAAGCACGAGTGAAGTACAAGTGAAATACTGTGAAGTACAAATAAAGTACAGTGAAGTACGAGTGAAGTACAATTGAATTTCTAGTTGAAAGTAGTTTTGAATTCTTTTATGTAAAATTCTTTCTGTTTGTGACATATATACATACTTCAGTTATTTTTAGTTTTTCATCCACCACATGATACTACTAATTATGAATTTAATACTATATAGTTTTCTTTTGCCACTCTTTATATGGCTTTCTTCCTAGAAATTTTTAAATAATAATTATTCATTGTTAGAGATAAGCAACTGTTATATATACCTTCAATATATGCCTTTTTGGTAAAGTATAACAGCATCCGAATAGTTTTCCATCGAGTGGTATGTAAATATCATACCGTTATAGATCCTTCTCAAGGACGAATCGTTAGTAGAAGATGTTTTTTTTCTCGAATGACGAGTACTGTTTCATATAATGAAAGAGCATTTTGATTGTCGCTCATAGATTTATAGGGAACCGCACTATTATAGTGCGTAGTGAATAACGTACTCTGTTCTATTACTATTGCTTTTCGATAACAAATAATAGCGTTTGAGAAATTTTCCATCGAATAATATATTAAGGGTGTGAGTAGCTATGGGTATGAGTATTTGGTTGAAATCAATCCTCTCAATCACATCTTGTAGGATATCATTTATCATACCTACCTCAAACCATATATAAAAATGGTTGACTCGCCATGGTTTTCTATTTCTATCATAGAAAATTCGAAATGTTGCCATACCATAACCAAATGGAACTATGCAATCTGGTCCAAAGCAGCTTTAAAGAACTATATTATAATAGTCGATACAACTATCAATAATAGCTATCTATATAAGAATAAGAATAAGATGAGTGCATTTTCTTACATAATTTCAAGTATGTAATTATATCAATAGACAATGTTTCGCTTTGTGTTCTTTATGCTTTCACAAAAAAGACAACAATTACATATTGACAATTAGGTAAATATCACTACATTCGTAAACTTTAATTAATTTTTTCAAATAACTGATGAGATTTGATTTATTTCATTAATTTCAAAAATAAAAAATAATCTACTCCGATATACTCATATTCAGATTATGCGTGATCTCATCTGTTTATATAATTTGTAAAATTTTGATAGAAATCAATATTTTTCATTGAGAAAAAGCAATTCAAAAAAATCGAGAAGAACTCATTCAGATTTTTATCAAAATAGCAAAAAAAAATTTATAGTTCATAATAGTTCAAATTGTCTTGAGTTATTATTTCCTTTTTTTAAATTCTGTACTGGTAAGAAGATTTAGTGATAATTTTTATTCGAACATCGAAAGAGTCAGACTACATAAAGAAGAACTTCAAGTGTTCTATGTTAATTAAAAGAACTATTCTTTTGTTCGTTTAATATATGCTCCGACTACTTATCACTACTAGTTTGTCTTTATCAGAATCAAACACGACTCTTAGTCATAATCCTCATTCTTTTTACCCAAACATCTCTACCAAAGTTTTTCAATTTATCACGAACTTGATCAACATTTTCCAGTTTGTGTGCAATAATTAAAGCGATTCAACTATTACTTTTTGTACCAGATGAAATGTCACTTTCCAAAGATACAAGATCGACTATAAAGTGAGTCAGGCAATAAGACTTGAAATCGATTAAATAGGCTGTGGGTGTCTTGTGTTCATTTACATTCACACCCACACCCTAAATGTCTTGACATTTTCAAAGACAGCCAAAACCGAATTGATAGTGTAAATGGGTGAAAGAGAGAACTGTGTTTCTTGTCAACTACACAATTATCTCTTTGCAATAGAAATTCTTTCTCTCATGTCAACATTCTGATATCGCACAAATGTAGTATTTCTTTATCTCTATGAGAATAAAAAGAAGTAGTTGTGATAACTTCAAGGTTTGATCTCTCGCTCCTCATTTCTTCGTTCGAGATATCGAAGAAAAATGCAAATAGAAGATTCTAGATGTGTTGAAGTGCGAGAAACAATCTACCCGTCGGTTACTCGATAAAGACTCGTGCACAAACGCAATGCACAGCCTATTGCCCTATCTTATGCACGCTATTCACTGGTGAGAAAAAACCTTATCGCCAAATAAAAAAGATGATATGACTTCTATGGAAACTACAGTAGAATTTTATGTATGCCTTTTCAATTAGGACATGACTTTAGGCCGTAAATATAGCTATGTAAGCAAACTGATTATTGTCCGAAACCCTAGAAAAACAACTTCGAGAATGTGCTTGAGGGTGAAATTGGGTCCATCTGTTGATGGATGAAGGAGGGGATCTTTTTATTCACCCATGACCCACTCAGGCATCCATTCACCCACACATTCAAGTGCATCATTTCTAGTTTCTTTAGCCTATCATGAAAAGACTCACATTTTTTATGGGTACTCTATTCATGGCAGCCTTCCCACTATCTGTGTGGGTGTGGTGCAGGTTAAGATGAGTAAAACCCTCCACCTCCACCCACTCCTACATCCATCTCTACACCCACACCCACCCTCTATTTTTATCTTAGTTCATCATTTCGTGTGCATGATCTGACAACGTATTCCAGGTGATTTTGTTATCTCTTGAGAGCAGGAGAAAAAATATGCGATGTTATATCTCCATGTTATACATGTTGAGATCAATAGCGTAGATTTTCTTTTCATCTGTTGATACGTCCCTCTTACAATACACAGTAAGGAGCTACAAACTATCCAACTTGTATTTTAGGGTCACTAACTACAATAGTTACATCCATTTCGACAACAGCTACACATATGGGAAATGCACAATTGAATACCAGTATGTATACTTTGCGCAAAGTTCATGCAAAATGATGCCCAACTAAAGAATGATGAAAAAAAATTAGTGAAATATAACATTTTTTTAGACACCGAATCGTATTTTACCAATGAGTATTTTAATATAAATACTAAAAAATCATTGAATTCTGTTCGACAGAAATTAATTGACACTAATTTGACCTCAAACGATCCTGACAGAAAGGCATCAGTTTATGAATCATTGAGCCTTTCGCAGAGGCTTTTCCCAAAACTAACTTCTATTAATATTTACCATAATTTATCGATCTTTGTCTATTCTTGAGTTGCAGGTAGGATCTGAATATGAATCTTCTCTGATAAATAAGAATTTGGTCAATTGAAATTTCGCCATATGAATTAGAATAATGCTATCAAATTTCCATAATCGTTAAAATCCATAAGGACTTACGACAGTAGCATTTATTGCTGGAAATTTTATTGTTCAAATTTCAATTGAATTCGAACAATACACACAACATTAAAAACTACAGTAAATCAGTTACATATCAGTTAATATGATTATTAGGGGGATCTTACTGCAGATCTTTATTCAGATAAATTGGAGGAAAAATGACGAGGATGTGGGTGTAGTTGAAGTGGGTGTGGAGTGATGTGGGTTTGGATGTTGATAAGAGATACCTACACCCGCATCCCGCCTCACATCCATGCCCCATACCTACGCCCAGAGATGGAACCAGTACTGGTCTGGATTTTGGATCGACCGGTCTACCGATCCAAACCGGTCTATACTGGTCTATATTTTTCACTTTCCTGCTCTATGATTGTATTCAAGGTACGAAGGTAACCCACCAGAGAGTTCACTGCGCAAGAAGATTTCATTTTAAGCTTCAGCCTGTTGTCTGTAGATCGATATTTTATTGATAGGTCGGGTTTTCCTGATAAACTGGCATATCATCAGTATCCCGTTCGCTACCGGTAGACCGGTTTTTACCGATAGGCCGGTCAAATCGGTATACCGGTCGGTCCGGTCCGATCTACCTTTCTCCAGACCGGTACTGGTCTGAAGAAAGGTAGACCGATTCCATCTCTGCCTACGCCCATACCCACACCCTCTATTTAACTCTTGTTTTGAAACCTAACTCAATCTAATGGTATCTAAGTTTTGCAACTATGTAGTCGAATTTTCGTTAACACTAGATAGTATCCAACTTAAAAAATTCGTTTGCTATTCTATTGACATTGTTTGTCTCGAATATGTTCGAATTGCACCAAGAGAATCGATATTATCATGGGATCAGAATGAAACATAATTCACATTTGGATCGATTAATTTCAATGTTGAGATTAATATTATGCATTATCATTGTCTGCTTTAGAACCAAAACCAGCATCCGTCGAGTTACCACCACCGCAATATCAAAATTTAGTGCTTGAGCAAAAAATTATTGAAAACCAAATTCCAGAAGAGTTATACTTAGGATGGGAGAAATTGACCGATGCCGATATGAAAATCATAGCCTACTATACAATTCGAAAAAATGAGGTAATATAAGTTATAGAAATGCATTTAGTCTTGCCCATTATTCGACTTCTTGTATCTACTGAAATTCTAAACCAATATTCTTGATTCTTTCTTTAAAATAGATTCATGTATAAAACTATAGTAAAAGTGAAATGTTGAACCGTTGAGAAGGACAAGAAAACTAGTGCGATATTCTGAATAAGACTTAGTATTAAAGGAGGAACACTTAGTTTCGTTGAAATTTTTTCAATACGCTTGACATAGTCTTAAGATTCGATTTCTGTACTCCAGTGAAGAGAATGGAAATTTCTCTGTTGATTCATCTCGGATAACTTAGATAAGTGAAAAATAAAACCTTTACAAATCTTGAAGCTTGGTATATACAATTTATTTGTCCGATCGGAGAGAAACTTCATGGTGAGTTCGATGCGAATTCGTCATGCTAGTATATCATTTTGAGTGAAATTATTGTTTGCTTAGGATGAGTTCTAACTTAATGTTGAATATGAGCTTTTGCCATCATGCATGGAACCTGTCCGTGAATGACATGCCTCACTTAACAATAACAAAGAGTTTGATTTATGATACAAATGATACTCAGATATTTGTCTTTTCCTGAATGAAGAGCAAATATTCACTATCTTCACTGTACAATAACGGCATCTATATTTTTTCGTCCTTCTACATATATATAATAACAGCAAAGAAAAAATTCCACTGTGCAAATTCTATCCATCTATCTTGAATGTCCGCATTCTCAAGGGACTACCCATTTTTCACAATGCATTACGAAATAACACGATGACTCTCATGCTCTCCTCATCTCTCTCATATACCCATCTGCATTTTTTCACACAGACACTCATCACACTCAGTCTCTGGAACAATCAAATGGAAGCTCTCGGAGCGAAACATCTGGCTCATGCATTACGAAATAACACGGTAACCTTCAATCTCTCTTCATCTCTCTCATATACCCATCTGCACTTTCTCACACAGACACTCACCACACTATATCTCTACAACAATCAAATCGGAGACAAAGGAGCAAAACATCTGGCTCATGCATTACAAAATAACACTGTGACCCACATTCTCTCTTCCTCTCTCGCATATCCTCATCTGCACTTTTTCACACAGACACTCACCACACTCTATCTCTACAACAACCAAATCGGAGACAATGGAGCAGAACATCTGGCTCATGTATTACGAAGTAACACGGTGACTCTCATTCTCTCTTCATCTATCTCATACACCTATCTGCACTTTCTCACAAAGACACTCACCATACTCAATGTTGGATACAATCAAATCGAAGCTCTCGGAGTACAACATCTGGCTGATGCATTACAACATAACACTGTGACTCTCATTCTCTCTTTATCTCTCTCATATCCTCATCTGTGCTTTTTCATACAGACACTCACCATACTAGATTTCTCTGGCAATCAAATCGAAGCTCTCGGAGCACAATATCTGGCCCATGCATTACGAAATAACACGGTGATCATCATTCTCTCTTCATTTCTCTCATATATTCATCTGCATTTTTTCACACAGACACTCACTACACTATATCTCTCGAATAATCAAATCGAAGCTCTCGGAGTACAACATCTTGCTGATGCATTACGAAATAACAGGGTGACTCTCATTGTCTCATTGTTTCTTCGTCTCTCTCATATACTCATCTGTACTTTTTCACACAGTCACTCACCACACTATATCTCGGAGACAATCAAATTGGAGACAACGGAGCACAACATCTGGCTCATGCATTACAAAATAACATGGTGATCCTCATTCTCTCTTCATCTCTCTCATATCCTCATATGCACTTTTCCACACAGACACTCACCACACTCAGTCTCTGGAACAATCAAATTGGAGCTCTCGGAGCAAAACATCTGGCTCATGCATTACGAAATAACACGGTAATCCTCATTCTCTCTTCATCTCTCTCATATACCCATCCCCACTTTTTCACACAGACACTCACTACACTAGATCTCAGACTCAATCAAATCGTAGACAAAGGAGCACAATATTTGGCTGATACATTACGACACAACACGGTGACTCTCATTCTCTCTTCATCTCTTCCATATATCTATCTGCACTTTTTCACTCAGACACTCACTACACTAGATCTCCGAGGTAATCAAATCGAAGCTCTCGGAGCACAACATCTGGCTCATGCATTACGAAACAACAGAGTGACTCTCATTCTCTCTTCATCTCTCTCATATACCCATCTGCACTTTTTCACATAGACACTCACCACACTATATCTCTCTGGCAATCGGATCGGAGCTCTCGGAGCAAAACATCTGGCTCATGCATTACGAAATAACATGGTGACCCTCATTCTTCTTTTATCTCTCTCATATCTCCACTTGCACTTGATCACACAGACACTCACCACACTTGATTTTGCAGACAAGATTAGAGATTGTTTCGACGAGATGATTGAACTGAGTGAGCAACGAACAAAACTGTGAATGTTGATTTTGAAGATGCTTTGATGGCGAATCGAAATGACGTGTTAAATGTGTGACTAGTGTTTTTTTATGTTTGTCGATTTGCAAATGACAATAAAGTCTTTTAATTTTCTAGATAATATGCATGATAATGAGGATATGACGTTAGTTTTCTTATAATGGAAGCATGAAGCCATAGGGAATTCAATTTTTGAGTCTTGCTACATATGTGATTTTAGTTAAAAGAGATAGTATACGTTTCTATTGTCTATAATTATTTAATATGAAGGAAATTTTGTTGAAAGGATTTCACCAATGCGAGTGATATTTTGTTTCTATGACATGGAAAAATGGATGATATAAATATCAGAGTTGGATTCTGATTGATATGAGTTTGATTGCCGAAGGATAAATGATTGGCAATTGTTTTTCTTTTTTGGTAAATAGAAAACCTATTTTGTTTGTAATTCATGACTGTAAAGATCAGTTGAAACGTTTCATACGAAATATAGTCTATGTAATTATTGGGATCACAAACATATGAGATTCTGTTTTCTTAACTGGCATGTTTACTATTGGCATAGCCTATGAAAATAAATTGTGTCGATGTGAGAAGACACTCTTCTAAAGTTAGTTGATCTTTATGAGAGCGTACTGTATGATGCTCGAATTCATTGCGAAATGCTTTGAATTCATTATGTGAAGTGATTCATTTTACTGAACATTGATATAGATCGATTGAGTAGTTATTGTTAATGAGAATGAATTCCATTTTTGAACAAATGGGCATGTACTTCTATGAAATCAGTATGTTTTCGTGCGTAGTGTAGTTGAAATTGATGTGACGAAGTCTTTCGTTGAAACAAACCACACGTACGCATATATATATATATATATGCTTGTGCAATGGAACAGTTTCTTGTAACCTTACCTGCTATAGATACTTTCGTTTGTATCTTAGCTGAGCAAAATAATTCAAGAAAAAAGAGACCAATTCAACTCTTGACTTGCATTGGTTTAAATTGAATTGAAAGAAGTTTTAAAGATCTGTAAATCCAATTCACTGGAGAAAAAAATTGAAGCTTCTGATAATTTTGAGGAAACGATGAATTCATGAAACACAAACTAAGCAAAAAAATACAATGACGTCCATTTTTTTGAATAATGTTTTGTTCGATTCTTATAGATGTCTGAATCATACCCATGTTTCTATATTTTAGTTGCTTTATTCACATGACGTTTTCAGATTTTTTTCTTTCATCGTCTACATTGTGTGTACATCTAGCGTATAGTCATCTTCTTTCAATGTCGCACAACACAACATTATATACTAACTTCTACAAACCACAGCTATTTCATTTAATTCAAAAATTACCAAATCATCTGAATTCATTTCAATTCATGAGTTCAGCTGAGCCCAATTAAGAAAACACTTTTTAGAATTTATAAATTCCATTGAATGAATTTGTAATATTTTACGAATCGATGTGAATTGACTTCGAATATATGTCGATAGGTCTCAAAATTGAATGATCTTAAAATGAAGAACTTTTTTTACAATTGTAACAATCGATTTGAGATGAGAGTGCGGCTGTGACTGTTCATCTCCCACTAATTCGCAGCCACATCGACATCCACAGTCACATCCTCGTCCGAGGCGAAAAACGTAACCCATCGAATGTAACCACTCATGCTCGGCATATTCGAAATGGTTTAGATTCTAGATGCAAACGGAAGAGCTACATTGTGAATGGTTGATGAATCGAATTGAGTTTCAGAGGCCATCGCGATTAATTTATTATTCGACTCATCAGCAAATATAGTGGTTGGAAAAACACGCGAAATTGGTCGATGACATTCGATATTTCGTTTTAGCTTGTAAAATTCATATTTAGGTATACATAATCCGCGATACAACCATCAAATTGCCCATTCCATGGAGTTTCAACTACGAAAACACATGAGTTCCTTAAATCGTTGAAGATGTAACTCATACAAGTTAAGCAGGAAATTGCCATACTTCATAAAAAACCAAATAAATTGAAAATTAACTGAGTATTGTGGTCTTCATTTTTTCACTACTATATGAACGAGAATCAATTCTGATGACACAGGATGCCCTAAAAATCATGATCACTTAACAAATGCATTTAACGCCATTATTAATCAAGCTTTATCTAATAATTATATTTTTATTTGAAAGAGGAGACTAATAAGTTTTTATTCATAAAGAAAAAGTAGATAAATATTGTTCGAAGGTATTTCCTTTAACGACAATACAAGAATTTGGATGTTTCACAATTTTTGAAACAATACCGAGTTTACTATAATGAATGGCTGTACTTTGCATTCTATATTTTCATCACTTATTTCGCCTTATTAAAAAATCAAATATACCAAAAGATGCAGCATGAGAAGCTCTACAATTTGCAGCAGACAGTTTTGTCTTACATTTCCACTTTTTTGTTTTCAAAACCGACAAAAGATGAAATTAAGAAAAACGAACTCGTTATGTACCAAAAAAATATCGTTTTTGCAGGATCGAAATTTGATTGCCTCAAGTCTGGTCGTTTTTGAAAGCAAAATGTGCAACTGTAAGACAAGCTGTCTTGTATAAATTGTAGATGTTTTCACGCTACATCTTGTGGTATATTTTGTTTTTTTTAAATAAAACATAGTATGTGGTAAATAAACGAAAAACGCATTGGTCGTATATTAAAAAAAGGACTTTTTGCAGCGTCGAAATCTGATCGCTTAGAATTTTATCAATTTTGAACAACAAAAAAGTGCAACTGTAGGAAAAAACTGTGTGCTGCAAATTGTAGAGCTTTTTATGCTACATCTTTTGGTATATTTAGTTTTTTGTTAATATGGCGACATAAGTGATGAAAATATAGAATGCAAAACACAGCCATTCATTATAGCTCACACGGTATTTTTCCAGAAATTGCGAAACGTCTAAATTTTTGTATTGACGTTAAAGGAAATACCTTCGAACAATATTTATCAACTTTTTCTTTATGAATAAAAACTTATTAGTCACCTCTTTCAAATAAAAAAAATTATTAGAAAAAGCTTGATTAATAATGGAGTTATATGCATTTGTGAAGTGATCATGATTTTTAGGACACCCTGTATATCATTAGATGACTATTTTGGAGGATGAGCATTCGTGCTTTTTAGATTCATGTAAAAATATGAAAAACTTATATGCGTGTCGGCAGAACTATGTAATGAAGCGAAAAGTGAAAGAAAAATATCTTTCTAGTTGCAATTACACTGGATCTTTTCTGCAAGTGTATGAAAACGGTGAACAAAGTTGGATGTGAATGTATGTCGTATAGATGAGAACACTGTCCACATGCACATTCTAGCCCATGCATGCATGTGCTTCGTGATTGACTAATAGAAGAAAAGAAGTATGAAACAAAATAGTTTTTCCTCAAGCATCAATGGCAAGCAGGTTGCATTGTTCTTTAAACTGCACTCCGTATTTTTGTCTTAAAATGGATCTTGTGTTGCTGTTTTAATCTTTATTTTTTATTTTCCTTTATGAAAGGAAAAAGACTTTATTTTCGTTTTGCTAAATGAGAAATATGTAAAAGACGATTTTTGTTAAAGAATGATGCTATTTCTATATTTCTTTCATAACATAACAGAACATTAAAAATCATAACCGAAAAAAACTCATTTCAGTCTGATAAGCTATGTATTAACCGATAAGAGATGATCTTACGATATTTTTAGGTGACGGATCCCGATTGTGTCATCGATATTAAAAAAAAGAGCGAAGAAATATTAGTCTCATATGATAATCAAGCAAATATATTAAATAATCAAGCAAGTTTATTGAATAAAAGAATTGAAAAATTGAGCAAAGAACTTGTCATAATCAATAATGAGGTGAAGAAGGTAAGATCTCGTCTATTTACAATTAAAGGAGTTTCATCGTGTTTTACATTTTAATTTGGTAAAGATTACACTGAAAGATTTTTAGAAATAATTGGATTTTTTAAATAAACGACAAGTTGCAAAAGAACATAATTCTGACGTGCAGTTTTCCTTTACTCATCTTGTTCTTTCTGTCCTTCTTATTCTTCTTGTTCATCATCAGCAGTGTCTTTGCCCCAGTCATATACAGGAATACAATTCGGAGCAGTTGGACATGAATTACAGCTTCCACCATATTCATGTGGCAATTGATCAGAATCAATATGTTGTAATAATAATGTTGATGTTTCGGAACCTTTTTTAACGACAATAATTTTTGTTTTCGTTACAGGATCAAACCAATGTTTCACTATATCCCAAAGAGCAGGAAAGATCGCTGGTGGATTTACAACAAACAGTTGTCCTAGACGTTCAGGGTAATAGTTTTCATCGATGTAAAGACATTGTTTATACAGATGAAGTATTTTTCTTATGTTCCATTTACAGCCACGTAAATCCAAAATCGTAGCAAATGTTTCCACATGTTTTCCTACTTGTCGACTACTCTCTCTTGCTAGTTGACAATTGTATTCAAGCCAATAAATATGACATTGAAGCAGTTCCTCTTGTGTAAACATATTCAACATTTTACTAACACGAATTAGACCCATTTTCTTAATATACAGTGGTCGATGAGCTTTTGTATAGCCATGTTGAGCACTCGCAAGAACTCTTTGAAGGAGATCCATTCGAGATAATGTAGGTGCATGTTCAAGAATCGAATCAGCTTTATTGTCTATTCGCCATTGTATCATTTCTTGAAGAGATTTGATTGTATGTGTTACATTCCATTTTCTACCGCGAAGAAATCTGTGTAATTCATAGCGCCATTCATTTTCTTCTTGTTCACTATCGAATTTATTCTTCAGAGGTAAATTAAGTTTATATTGGAGATAAGATATATGCTTTGATTTTAATTCATTGTAAACGGTATCAAATTTTTTCTGCTGCTCTATATTTAATTGATTAATGTCAAATAATGGACTAGTGACGGCCATCGTTGTACACAATAATCTTAATATTCCTTATAATAATTCAGGTTCTTAGTGAAAATATAGGTATGTTGGTATGCAACCTTGTCCTATGAAATGATTGTAATGGAGTAAATGTAGCAAAAACGAAATAAGAAAAACAAAGAAAGATAAGTCGCATGTGCATGATAAGATGATAGCTAGATGTTTATTAAATTTGATGTTGGATCTTTAATTGATTGAGAGTAAATTTTGTCTCGAAAATGTCAAAAAACCATGAAACGTGTCTGCTCTAGTCTCAATCGTGTTTATTCTTTAAGAAATCCTGGAAGTATCCATCAGGATCCTGAATCTTGTCAAGTTTTCTTCTGTACATGAAATTTTCAGGGTATGTTAGGGTTGGTATGGAGAAACTGTGGTAAAATTTTCAGCTGTGTATCATGACGTTTGACAGAGATATTCACCGGATAATGATCAAAAATAGCTCGATTGTATCTCCAAGATTTTTCTATGGATCTTCATTCTATACTTAAAAATTTTTTTTGTTTGAAACAAGTGATACAAGAAAAAAATTACTGAGTGCGTGTAATCGCTCGTTATGACCGAATAATACATAGGGCAATTCTAGAGGTTAAGCCAGTTTACAGATAGTGTCCACTCTGAAAATTCCTCAGCCTATTTGTTTTTTCGCACACATTCTCAAATTAACAGGTGAGCCAGAATCAATGAGTCATTGTTATTCCCTACAGATTGTTGGCGTCAACGATGATTCACTCCGATGTTAAACAAAGACTAAAATATCCGGTCTAGTGTAATTGACTTAGAACATCTGCCTGGATAACAGATGATGTGCGGTTCGAAGTCCGACAACAGCGTATTTTTCTTCATTCTGTCTATTTATATATCTCCTTAGGCTGAAACTCTTTATGACTCACATATAATGCTTACACATATTTCCCAGTGTTTATTGTTTCGGAACGGATTTTTTCCAAAAACGTTCAGGATTGAATTCTCTACAAAGTCCTACAGAAAAGGTTAATACAAATATAAAAGGACAAACTTATGATAATAATACAACGAGAGTCTATCAATAATAACTTTCAAAGTGTTTTCATTGATATTGGCTCCCGTTTTTTACTGGTATTGAAGCATCATGTAAAAGATTCTACGTAAAAAATTTATTTTTCAAATAACTAGTTCTTATCTTGCATGCTTTTCCTTACTACTAACACATAAACTATTCGAAGTAGCACTGTTTCAGAATATGTCTAATCTTGCACAGTGTCGTTTAACGACATTTTCACAAATCAAAGCCTAGTTCTAGGAAAACATACGGTGAAAAACAGGAATATTTTTGAAAATTCATGAAAACTAACATTTATTTAACTGTATAGACTTTTAATCGACGAGTCTTGATGCACATTCAGAGAGTATGCCTTCCACAAAGCTCAACAAAAATGTTTGCTTAGTCTACCCCGTGGTTTGACACTACGAAAACTCAAAGAGATATCGAGCAAAAAGTTAGAAGATCATTTATGTTGGAGAACCATTATTTTCTAGTATTATGAGTGTGCTATGAAACCACAGAAAAATGAAGCTGCTTTACACTTATGATCATTCGGTGTGATCGAAAAATATATAGCAAAATTTCAAAGCTAGAGATATTTCAACTTTCCAAAAACCCTGTTGAAGAGAACTACTTTCACGAAAATTTTCTGAAGCACTTGTTTTCTGTACAGGATCATATCTAACTTTTAGCGAGGTTGAACCTCTTCGAATGTTAAAAGAATAGAATTCTGAACGATTTTTTTCTATGTTGGAACTCACAAAACGTTTTGATAATTCTTACTATGGACACTGGTGAGAAGAGTGATATTACAATAATTAATGGCTGCTATTCATGTCATATAGAACTTTCCAAGATTTTGTCGTCAGGAAAAAAATTACTATGATACAAGAATAATATTACACAAACTTAGGAGGAAACATTTCTAAGTGAGTCGCTCTGTTTACATTCATATTATACCCATATGTAGGGGACCATTATATTAGAATAATCGTCAAAGGATTCATGTTTTTGTTAAGATTTGGCCAAAATTTCTAAGTGTTGGTGAATTTTTCCTATAGGACATTGGTTTTTTTAGTAAAATCATACCTTCGAATTGTGATCTAAAACTTTGTCAGGATGAGGATCTTGCTATGACTCGCTCATATATAAAGTTTAATTGTTTTTAGACATTGTATATTTGAAAATGAAATTTTTCACAAAAAAAGTATGGTTCTGTAGATATATACAATGTAAAGCATTGATATTTTGAAAGACTCATATATCAGCGACACAATATTCGAGAATGATGAAACTTTATATATGAGCTAGTCATAGGAAGATCTTCATGTTGACAAAGTTTTAGATCAAAATTCGAAGATGTGATTTTACTCCAAAAGTAACGTCCTATAAGAAAGATCAACTGAAAATTCGATATTTCGACCAAATTTCAACAAGAGCACGAATTCTGTGGCAATTATTGTAATATAGTTATCCCCTATGCATGAGCATAATATGAATGTAAACGGAGTTAATCACTTGAGAATATTTCTTCATTAGTGGTATTACTTAAGGATGGAAAAATCCGGTGGTTGCTGATAATGAAAACCGTCTTCTGAAGAGAATGTAATTATATAAAACTTACGTTTGATCAATGTATTCTTGCGAAGTCTTCTTTATTAATGAGCAGAATAACGATGTATTGAATCGAAATTATTCTATGCAAAAAGAAAATGAAAGCATTATGTTATTTATAGGGATATTGAAAAAATAAGTTTGGCTTGTGTGCATTCATCCATATACGTAAAAAAGCACATGATCATATACTATTGAGATATCTTTTTTTTTATACCTATATTATCGGGTTTTTTACTGGTTCTCTGACTCACCTCTCGAACAGCTTAATCGACGGAAAGAGAGAGAGAATAAATTGAAGGTTGGAAAAAATATGCACTATACCACAGCTTAATTTGCTTTTTTTACTATTGTTGTAAGGTGCTGGAAATTCAAAATTAGAGTAAATTTTTTTTTGGTTTTTTTTTGCACGTGGTTGGATAGAGAGCACGAAACTGATTATAAAAAAGTAGTTTTAAACTTTTCAAAATATATTTTCGGTAGAAAAAATTTAAAATGGTGGAGTACCGAATTTTTTGGGAAAAACAGATAAATTTTGAAAATGATGCCATTTTTTTTGTTTTCTCATTATCTTTACTTCTTCAAACTAAGTTTTTCGTGTTCCTTATGTAAAACTGACTATAGAGAACTGTATTAATACAGTTCTCTATAGTCAGTTTTACATAAGGAACACGAAAAACTTAGTTCGAAGAAGTAAAGATAATAAGAAAACAAAAATATGGCATCATTTTCAAAATTTATCCGTTTTCCCAAAAAAATTCGTTACTCCACCATTTTTAATTTTTTCTACCAAAAATATATTTTGAAAAGTTTAAAACCACTTTTTTATAATCAATTTCGTGCTCTCTATCTAACCGGGTGCAAAAAAGCCTTTTTCAGGAATATATTAGTTTACCATTGATCACTATCGAAATAAGCTAATTTAGATCATTGATAGCACGAAATTCTGAGGGTTTTATTCATATAAATTAATTGAATATTGTTTTTTCTCAATCTTTTTTTCCATCATCTCTTGAATCTGAAAGCATGCTTGATAGTTGACGCACACTTAACGATGTTATTTCTATGATTAGAATTAAGAGGTTGAATTAAGCTCATTGACTTTTGCTTCTAGATGCTTTTCTAAATCCTACTAATAAATCTTTGACTTGGAATATGAATTACTAAAACTTTTAACTACTATGGAATATCTATTCGGCAAATTTCGTACAAGTAACTTTAGTTTTTAATAGATAATGCAAATGGTAGAAAATTGTGATTGAAAACTAACAGTGAAATGTTTTCTTCGAAAATAGACCTAACTTCTACAAAAAAAATAAATAGATCACAAATACAGTACAGTAAGTAACATTTTACTTTCTACTTAATCGGTATGCCCAATAAGTTCCGATATGTTCAATCTTCATATATGTATAGACTTTAACTTGGTTTTTTATTTTAAGAAACTATATGAATTGAAGATGAGAAAAAGAGAATGTTTATTAAAGCGATGTTAAATATAAAATAAGTATTGAAATAAAGATCGATAATATATATTTTATACTGATAGCTATATTGAATATTGCTTCATTTGGTTTGTTTGTTGTTAATTCACTTGGTTTATTCATTGTTGTTACATATAATGTATTTAATCCTCAAATATCATCAGTACCCAAAATATTGCATTGTTGCTTGTTTGCTTTTAGTTGTTGTACCAGAAAAATCAATTTGACTTATTTTATTTAAACATGAACGATCAGGTTTAAATGTTGATGATAACATATATGTTATAGCTAAATTCCAACCACAATTTTCTTCTTCGTTTGTCATTGGTACTGCATCTATATTTTTTATTATTTCAGTTTTATAATTCATACGAAAAGAAAAGATTTACTTGTAGCTGTATAGGATTATTTACAAATAACTCGATATTATACAGAGAAAGTTTTAACATACTTTAGCTGAATAGTACATAATTCAGAGAAATCAGTGATAAAAAATCAATCAATATCTGTATAATTATGATTAATTATAGCGACATAGAGATTCATACTATAAATTATGTAAAAGTATCTTTGATTATTTTTAAATTCAAACAAAATATATATATAAGTTGAAAATACTTTTTATTAAAAGTAATAATTATTCAACGATAAACAGAACGAAATCGAAATGACCTATTAAAATCATTTTATTATCAATTGATTTATTTTTCAAAAAAAAAACCGATGATAAAATATTTACTCTGAATCTATCGTAATTGTCTTATTTTAAAAATTTAAATAATCAATATAAGCAGATTTTTTTAGTGCTCACATAATAAGAAGAATAAAATCACATTCAAAAGTCATCCAAAAAAAAGAAACATTGGAAATTGTATTGGAAATAAAATATCAAAATATTCTTATCGAACATAAGGAAAGTTAGGAGCAAAATCAAATATGCAATGCTGACATTCGCTTCTGACCCTTAAATAATCACTACAGGGTTGTGGGTGGGTGTGGGCTTGAGGCATTTAATCTCTTCTAACACCCACACCCTCAACGTGCTTCTTAGAATTCAACTACTATGCCATTTTCATACAGCTATTACTCTTTTTCCAAAGATTCACCATTTGATCATCAGACAGAATCATTATATAATGCATGGAACTATACAGTGATACACTCTCTTTCAAATGGTGAAAGCTCCTGCATTCTATCTTGTTCCTATCAAAAGTTATTCAGAATCAAAGACTGATTGTCTAATAAGTATTGACACATCGTGTATACTGCAATATTTATTCAAATTGATCTTTTGCAAAAATTAAGACACTATTACACATCGATATAGTGTTCTAATTTCTGATTCTGAAAGAAAACTCTAACATAAGGTGTGCGTGTGGATTTTCTTTTCTTCGTTTCAGACGTTCAATTTTATAATGAAATTCGGGATTTATTTATAACAAGGTTTTCAAATAAAAAGGATTCATTACCAATTAATTTAAAAGAAAAATTTGAATGATTAATTACATGTAAAAATATATATTCAATAAGAATTCAATTGACATTAACAGAGGATTTTAAACAAAAATATTTTTTATTGAGAATCAAAATAGATTTAGCATATGTATTTTTATTAGCGTTTGTATATGATTATATATTTGAAGATGATATTGATAAACTAAATTTTTATTCGGTATTCAACAATCTATTAAGTTTTCATTGGAATTTTATAAACCATCAAGATAATAACAATTCGAGAATTTTCTTCTAAAAATAATTCAATATGAAGCTGATTAAGAATAGTAAATAAATCAAGTTCAACGCAAATGACACAAAAAATGTAACATCATGGCATATCGTTACTTTGAAATAAAAGATTCTATTCAAGAGTTTAATGAATTTATTATTAAATATAAAAAGATTTTTAAAAATCTATCGATTAATGAAAATAATTCTCCAAATAAAATATTATGTAGTCAAAATTATATGGATATTTTCAGTTCATTTGTATTATCAGATTGAACGATGTGAGTGCATGGGGGTGTTATTGCTCGCTTTATCCACCTCTTACACTGAAATTTGGAAGAAAATCGATAAGTATGATTTTGAAATATTTAGATGCCGTTTAAATTACTTCGAATATTATATATATTTGACATTTTTTATGAGTTCCGACAACTATATCCTAGTTTCTACTTTGCGGAATATAGAAAAATATTGAGATTTTTAAGGTAGACGAGGATGCATGGGAATGAGTATAGGAAAGAAGAAGATTTATAACTACACTCATACCCTGCTATAATATCATAACTTCTGAAAGAACTCGTGGATTTTCCGATAAAAATAAAAAAGTCACTATTTCTACAACAGGATAACTTTCATGTAGGATTCAGATGTGTACGTGAATCGTTAAGTTTACACCTTTCATTGATATGTGGGTGTGGTGTTGGTGCTATTAAACAGAAGATACACAGCCTTACACACACTAACATCCATACTCACATTCAATCTTCATGTTTCAACTTTCAAGCCACAGAAATAGTTAGGGCGTGGATGTGAATGTTAATCTTTCCTTTATTCATACCCACATCTACATCCACATCCAGTTTATTGATATGGAGAATTTAGACTTCGAAAAGTCTGAATACGAGATTTTCAATTTTTAAGATGGAAATTTTATTGACATGTGTTTCGACGTTAAGAGCGTTTTTCAGAATATCTTAAAAATGAAACAAATCGTTTAAAGCATATTAATAACAAATGTTAGACAAAAAGAGAAAATAAAGGAAGAAATAGATACTCAGTTATGTATTGTGCAAGTTACATTGATAAGCGAAACAATAAAGAATTACATTTAGAGAAGTGTCTATACAGCTGAAGATAGATGATTAAATGACTTGTACATGGTGCATATGCTGTGTATTGAGAAAAAAAAATGAAAATATTAATCAAGTGAATTAAAGTCAGCTTTGTAGTTTATAGTCGAAGTGAGAAAATGAGAAAAGAGAAAAAAAAAGGGAAGAAAGACAAACATAAATGTTTAACGTTATGGATAAATTAATGTTCATATAGTTGGACTCAAGATGAATGAATGATTTGTATATGTTTTATATATATGGTATGTGAATAATGATGATGATTGACAATATATGCAAATATGAGGAAAAACCCATCTATACTCATACTCCACCCGTATCCACACCCACATTCTTATTTACAATCATAAACGTTTCCAAATGCCCTTATCAGATATAGTGGAGAAAACTACGTCTGTTGAGTATAGTTGAAAACGTCTGTGTTTGTAAAAATAATAACAACAAGCTAATTTCATTGAAAAATCGAATATCTTTCACCCATATAAAAAAGTTACATTTTTGACATTTTTCGAGAGTTTTGAAGTAGTTTTTTGCATATTTTCCCTCGAAAAGGTGGCTGAGAAAATTTTAAACATACTTAGTTTTGTAGCGCTCAACTAGGTCTATAGAATCATGTAAAAGTGTTCAAGAAAAAAATGCTTTTTCTGTGTCGGAATCATTGGCGCCTTTTTTTTCTATCCCAAAAAGTGTAAACTTTCTAAAACTTTCTCAACTCGAGCACTAAAATGTTTAGATAACACTTACTATTTAGTTCCAGTAGATCCTATTTTCGACGAGTTTTCATTCGGTATAAAATTCATTACTTACTCTGTTTGAAGTTATGGTGTTACATCCCCTAGCAAAATGTTATTTCCAATCCTGTAGTAGAAAGAAGAATTGTAAAAAGAATGGTCATTCATATTATGACCTATCTGCTATATCACTTTGGTTGATACTTTGTTATTTTTCTTACTCTTCGATTCTCACTCTCAAGAGATGAAAACAACCATGCGATAAGAACATCATGCATTTTATTTTCTTCTCAATCGATCTATATATCTAGAGTAGGATTAAAAGACACCTGTGTCGATTTTATATATGTTTCATATTTTTAAGGCATTCTTTCACGCTTTAATTTTAATGTTGTTCTTGTACTGCTTAGTTGTCGTCGTCATTACCTCTCTAAAAAATATCGCCTTTGCATGTGATACAGATCCACATCAAGATGTTTTAGTTGTTGCTGCCGGATCATTCCTATCGGCAAGCAATGACCAAGGTACTAATTGGTCACCATCGGAAACAAAAGGACAGATGACATTCAATCAAGCAACTTGTCGATATGAAAAAGCAGTTCACGGATTGCCAGCTAATATGAATTATGAATGGAAAGTTGCTTTTAATGGAAAATGGGGTGGAGATAAAGGATGTAATAATGGTGGAAACTGTCAATTTAATAGTGGTTCTTCTGGTACAATACTTCTCATCTATAATCCATTCAATGGACAGCTAGCAACAAGTTCTCTAAGTAGTGATCAAACAACTGTTCCAGGTAGTGTTTCTACTTCTGCACCATCAACATGTTCAAATCCATACAAAGGTCGAATAGTTCGAACATCAGGCGATTATCAATCTGAATTAGGCAGTACAGCTCCATGGCTGACTACAGAAGTAAATAGTTTAATGACATTTGATGAAACGTCTTGTCTCTATTTACTTACTCTTTCTGGTCTGACATCAAATAGATTCTATGAATGGAAAGTTACTTTTGATAATTCATGGTCAGGAAGTATTGGCTGTGGAAATGGTGGAAATTGTAAATTTTCAACGAGTGCAGCTGGTACTGTTGAACTTGTATTTGAACCTAGTTCAAAACAATTATCATTTCGTCCTCTTGCAACTGTTTGTGGTAATGGACAATGTGAATTAGGTGAAACATGTAGTACATGTTTGATTGATTGTAGTGAATGTCCACCAGCTATATGTGGTGATGGTAAATGTGAAGATGCTGAGTCATGTGAATCATGTTCAAATGATTGTGGCAAATGTTCAGTATGTGGTGATGATATATGTCAAACAAGTGAAACATATCAAACATGTCCACAAGATTGTCCAAATGAATTACCTGGATGTGGAATATTTAAGGAAGAAAGTTGTGTAGATGATTCACAATTTCATGCAACATCAGATGTTGAAGAAAAACGTTGGCAAACACCAAAACCTGGTACAAATGGTTATCAATCATCATTTCAAGATTATCATACACTTGTTGGCTATGCTGATATCATCTATATAAGTACTGATCGTCTTGCAGCTGATGTTTGTCTTCAAACAAAACATCGTCAATTAAATTCAGTCACATTAACTTATTTTTTTGATGGTATTACTCAAACAACAAAATGTAAACGTTATACAAATGCATATACTGGTATTTTATTAGCAGTTGTAACTGGAAGTGATGGATCAACATTAGAATTACCTGAAATTGATTTTGTATGGAATGCTAAACCAATTCCTAGTCGATCAGGTGATTATCATAATGGACAAAAAGGTGCTATAACAGAAATGTTTGGATGGCCACACAATGACGTAAAAGAAGAATGTGAATTTCTTGGTAAAGCTGGTTATTTAGGTGTAAAATTATTTCCTGTTCATGAGCAACTTATGTCAACACAACCATTTGAAAATGCAATGAATCCATGGTATTTTATGTAAGTATACATTCAGAATATATAATATAAAATCGATAATATTTATATCTATTTTATTAGGTATCAACCAGTTTCATATAATTTAGATGGTCGAATGGGTACACGTGAAGAATTACGTGATCTAATTCAAACATGTCGAAGCTTTGGTGTTCGAGTATATATAGATGCTGTACTAAATCATTTTACAGGTGCAGGAAATGATCTTAATCAACATCGAAATCCAGGTAGTGGTTGTGTTAAATGGGGTAATAAAACAAGTAGTGCACCTATTGAGCGACAATCACCATTTTATATACATGCTTTTACTTATCAATACAATGCAAATACAGGAAAAGCTCCATCTAATGAATTTCCAGCTGCTGCTATTGGCCCTGAAGATTTTCATTGTGATCGTCCAAATGGTGCTTGGACTAATTTATTTATTTTAAATAATGGTTGGCTAGTTGGTCTTGTCGATCTTGATACTTCAATGGATTATGTACGTGAACGGCAAGCAGCTTATCTTGTTGATATGTTAAGTTTAGGTGTAAGTGGTTTTCGAATTGATGCAGCTAAACATATATCACCAGAAGATTTATCAGCAATAATGAAAAAAGTTCAAACTAAAATGGGTGGTAAATTACCAGATGATTTCTTTGTCTGGCTTGAAGTTCTTACAGGTAATAGAATTCATCTAGAATTTAACGTATGATAATGTATCTTATGAAAGATGGAGAAGCACAGTATATTTGGACAGGACCTTCGTGGTACGGCACTATGTTTACAAATATTCTCAAACAAGATCTCGTTTTAGATTCAGAAATTGATAAGATTAAAGTAAATTTTTGCGAATAATTTTTTGGAATATTTTCTAAGTTTTATTTTATTTTGATCATAACGATGTGGGATGGTCTCTATCCAAAAGAACCATTTCATAATCCAACAGTACCACGTCATCGTGTAGTTATTCAAAATGATGATCATGATCAACAAAATCCAGGTTCAAGTAGTCGTGATATGGATACTTTTGGTTGTGTTCTTGTAAAAAATTGTTCTATATCAGTTCATCGTAATTTTGAAATTCGTCTCTTTACAAATCCAAATGGAGTAACTGATAATAATAATGATTGGCCCATACGATTCATTCTTTCATCTTATTATCATACCTATGGAGATCTTGGTATTCCCGATGGAAAATCATCATGTAATCTATGTACAGTAATGTGTGAGACGTGTCGAAAATCAGTACCTTATATCAAAGCACATGAACCGATGGCATGTGCATATGTTGGCAATGGATATACACGTACACATCGTGATATATTTGTGATCAATGCAATGCGTGCATGGATGAAATTAACACCAATATCAGGAGTATCGTTGGGTATTGGACATTGTGCATGAAAACTAATAAAATATTGCTTATTAATTGGCACATTTTTGTTTTCAGTTTAATAAAATTTTTGACAACACAATTTGCATATTTAAGTTTTTCAGTCATCGTCTAATGGCATAAATCATAAGAAGTCATTTATTGATGATAAAATTTTCACCATCATTTTATTGATATGACTGTATAGAAGTATATTATTAACTGCTATCGAGGGCGTGTGTGTGAGTGTTGATGTGGATGTGGATGTGGATGCGTGAGTTGGTGTGGGCATGGGTGTGGGTGTTGGAGTCATCTCTTAACCCACAACCATCCACATCCGCATCAAAAATACAATTATGTACATTTACGAATAGGACTTTAATATTTTACTATGAACATGGTAAACACTTGCAAAAGTAGCCCTTAGCCCGTGGTAAAAAGATTAACTTTATTCTTTCGCCTCAGTTATTTTATGTTCTCAAAATATTATACATCGGTTTTAGATCGAGTTGAAAAAAATAACAAATTAAAAGGAAAACTGTGAAAGAACGTTCATTAAATAACATTCATGGTAAGTGAAATCTACCGTACCCAGTTATCACTTTTCAATGGAGAAATTATGCCAAATATATTTTTATCGCTTCAGCTTCAGTTACTTCATTTAGATTAAATAGAATAAGCTCATTTCATAGTTCATAATACAGTAGAAGTTGTTTAGCACAAACAGTAAAACTGATATAAAAGTCATTCTGATTCTTGCTTTATCTAATAAAAAGAATTGAACATATAATTTTGAAAAAAATACTGGTTTCACCTGCTAATTACAGATACTCTCTGAACGTATATCTCTTCAGTAGTAATAAAAAGAATAAACCGAATATTATCGATGTTTTCTGTGAAATACTCTTTACATACTATAGACAATACATTTTATGTCTTCTATTCTTTTAGACATTTAATCATTTGATAATGTCGATAAGAATCTAGTACAATATCAGATCATCGATAATTTAAATTTGTAAGTATCATTATATTGTTCTTAATCCTTCGAATTTCAATACAGTGATGTATGAAAGACAGTGTAGATTTTGCTAAATTGAAGATTAAGTATTCTTTCATCATCACAACCATCTTCTTCACCAACATTGTCATCAGTATTGTTTAACGGTAACGACAATGAACTTCCAAATTTTGGACAAGTTTGTATTTAAATTAAATCAACCACAGTTCCATATTATCCTAATCATTTCGGAAGTAAGCAGTGTGAGTAATTACATATTTGTTATTGTGATATAGCGAGTTTTTTGTTTCATTAGTCGAACCTGCTTCTGATAACTATAATGATTGTTCATTATCATTTTCATCGTCCGATATTTTTCATAGAAGGTAAACTTTTGAAGTTTCAGATGAATTTTCAACGCACAGTATTCAGTTTGAAAAACAATGGTTCCCTTTTCCTCTCATATTCATTCTTCTGGAATTCTTCATGACTATTTCGATCACATAGGGTGGTCCTTATTTTCTTTATTTTTTCAAATGTCTTACTCTATAACAAATATCAACTAAAAGTAAACATATATCATTAGATGACTATTTTGGGGATGAGCATTT